TATGGTCAGGTAGCTATCTCATGCTGAAACATGCTTGTCACTGCTCTAGCTTCGGGATGTATTTTGGTTTTCCTTCTTCCTTTCTCAGGGTACTGAGAGGGATTATGAACGAGCGGCAGAGGCTTACAAGCATGCAAGGTCCCAGTCTAACGCCCAAGCCATGTTCAACCTTGGTTACATGCATGAGCACGGACATGGGCTGCCTTTGGATCTTCATCTTGCAAAGCGTTACTATGATCAAGCCCTAGAGATTGATTCAGCAGCAAAGTTGCCTGTCACGCTAGCCCTCACAAGCTTATGGATACGAAAAAATTATGCCGATGGTTTCCTGGTAAGTTCTGTTTGTTTTACTTTCCTGATGCCTTCTCATATAATAGTTAATCTCTGCTATTAATAGTCCAGAATGAGCTTGCTTTGGATAATTAAGCTCTGTTTCCGGTTATTTTCATTTTTGGACTCTTCATTCATTAGCGATCTTCTGTTTCTGGGTCTGTCTGCAGGTACATATAATCGATTCATTGCCCGAAGCCTATCCCAAGGTTGAAGAATGGGTAGATACCGTGCTACTTGATGAGGGAAACGCGACGATATTGACTCTTTTTGTTTGCCTCCTTACCGTCTTGTATCTACGCGAGCGACAACGCAGGCATGCTGTTGCTGCCCCTGATGCGATGGCTGCACTGCACCACCCGAATGAGCATGTTGCACCACCCATGTAGTTTAGCTGGCAACAGTGGTCTTCCAAGAACGACAAGGCTCTTCCATCGTTTATGTGGAGATAAGGTTTCGATGTTTTGGGACAAATTGTACCAGAGAGACTTGAGCACGTAGGAAACGAAGATGCGTTTGCCTCTTAACTTTGCGTGATAAATTAAGGAGGATATTGACATATTTTTACCGGATGACCAAAATGATTTACAGTGTACAAATTAAAGAACACTTTTATTGATTATTTTTGTCAATAATCAAAGTGACGAGTTATGACATTTTCAAGAATCATTTTAGTTAAAAAGTCTTCAACATTTAAAATAGATAAATGAAAGAAAATCGATTAAGATGGTTTGGACATGTTAAATGAAAACCTACAAATGCTTCGGTTAAAAAATATGACTGTGACAGAGGCTCAGAGTACAAAGGATAGAGGAAGATTTATGAAGACTTTAAATTATGCAAAAACATGGAGTATTTGGAGCTAACAGAAGAATTAAAGCAAAACCGAGCCTACGACGTTTTAGGATTCATACAGCCGATCCCACTTAGTGAAATAAGACCTTGTTGTTGTTGAGAGTTGAAAACCTTACGTAGAACACCTTTCCATAGAAACTATAAAATCATTGGTCACAAATGGTTCCGTCCCTGGCAGTATACAAGCTAAAACCGCAAACATTTCATCACTCTCCCGTCTATGTAGTCACTAGCCTGATATCTTACGGAGTCCTCAAGGTTCACCGTAAGCAAGCATGTCATGCACATATCTCCCTAGAAAACAATGTCTTTGGGCCTAGTAACAATACACTAGCGCGGACGCCTCCACATCTGCTCCTCGTACTCGGTAGTTTCTTCTTTAGGGCGTTTACCGTTGCACTTCAGGCAAACCACGTTTCTGCCATAATTCAAGAAATCGCATCTGCAGTACACGAAAACATCTTGTAAATACGCAGTTGACGTTGATATCAAATCTAAAACCACACCCCCACACACACAAACAAAGAGGAAGAGATGCTTACGAGGGGCAGTCCCAGTCTGCAGGATTTTTCTTGGGCCGTGGATCTTGACAACGCAAACACTTCCGATTGCTTGCGAAATTCATGAATGTACACCTGAAGAACTTACGCTAAGTGATCAAATAGAACTTTACTTGGAGAAAAAAAATAGCGTACTCCGTTTAAATACTTCAGAGTTGCTGATCTCTGTTGGTTGTCAGGACAAAAAGAAGACTTACTTTGGGCAAGTCCAGTCTCCTTTCTTCATTTCAACATCTGGACCGACTCTCTTTGGCCCTTCAGCTTTGCACTTTAGGCAGCGTATGTTTCTAGAGAAGTTCATGAAACTGCATCTGTAACAAAATGGAACCAGTAAAGATACGTTAAACTCGGAACTCGAGATTATGGTGGTAAGCTAGACAAGGATCGTAATTCTGTGACAAACTGATAACAACAACATTCTCTGAAAAAACTGATTACAAGGTAAGGATTCATGCAGAAGATGTGGCTTACTCGGTGCAGATCCAGTCTCCCTTTTTCATTTCGATTTCAAGATCACCCGCATCAGCTTTTCTTGGGCCATCTTCTTTACATTGTAGGCATCTTAAATTTTTAGCAAAGTTCATAAAATTGCACCTGCAACAAGATAACAACAGTTTATCATGAAAACTAGTTCACTACTAACTGCAACAAGTGAAAAGAACAACAAATAATTGACTAAAAGATTCGGCAACCAATTCCAGTAACTGAGTTTTATTATATCCATATACGAAGCAAGACAATCAATCCCAAAATAAAGTATACAAGCTCCAGATGTGGATATTTCACGGAATTCCCGAAATAAACTATAAGTCACTGATGTAGTGTTACCACTGTAAAGCCGCCACACACACATACACATGGTGCATTACTTTAGTCATCTGTCGCAACAAACAAAACAGGGAAAAAGGCTCCTAACTTGAGGAGATAAATTCCTCCGATCAAGTCATAAAGTCATACAAGATATCAAATTATAACGACAGAAATGAAAGAGGTATGACACGCACGAGATGATCACGATAACTTGGTGTAACTTACTTGGGACACATCCAATCTCCTCTCTTCATTTCAACATCTTGAGATAGTTCATCACCAATGAAACTTGGATAAAATTTCTTCTTCTCAATAGTTTTGGCAGCAGGCTTTGGAAGTGATGGGTCAACAGCTGTTTCACTGAGTTGAAGCAACTCAGAGAGCAGCTTCCTTGCAGATGTTTCCAGAAGCTCTCTACCAGGTGGTTTCTCTCCCTCAGAAAAAACAACGGGGTCTAGAGCATAAAACAATAGTATTCGCACTATATCCACTGTACGTGCTGCTGCTTCAGATTCCTTAAGAACCACATAAGCTCTATCGCAGGAACCTCGGAGATTACAACCACCACAAACCTGTAAGCACCATCCAGAACACATAAACAGTTCTCAAGGTTTATAAAGGAATTCCCCATGAAGCATCGAAAAGTGAAAACTGCACAATAAACAAAATCGGGTAAATGAGAGCAATTACATACATCCCCTTCATCTAGTCTCAAGTGGAATCGCAATCTTTTTGCTGAATTCACAGCTTTCCGGAAAAGATTGGGACATCCACCCTCCACAACTGCTTGAATATCTTCCATAGACAATGATCTGCACAAAAATATGAAAACGAAACAAGGTTAGATGCAATCATGCAAGAAATGACGAACACATTTTCAGATGCTCATGCAAATATTACGGTATGTTCAATAATAACTAGACACAATTCAATCGAAATATGAACTCTTTTCTTATCAGATTCATCTTCCCACTGCAGTACAGGAGCTTTTCAGTTCATCCATATCACATAACTAACTCCCCAACTACCACAGCAGCTCCGTGCCGCCTAAGTCTTACAACCCGAATGGCAAAACTATGGATTACTTTGCCACCATAAGAAGCAATCATGATTGTTAATTAAGCAGCTAGCTTTAATCCATACATTAACAGATATAAAAAGATCATATCTTCATGGAAATTGCAGTAGCAAACGGAACGTCACCAAAGCTCAAGAATGGCAATAATTCAAAGGGACTTCAACCAACACTTAAGAATTCCAACCAACACTTATGAATTCCAACATTTTCTCGGCAACCAAACAGAGCAATATCACAAATAAAAAGAACCTTACTTGAAAACATCATAGCGGTCACGAGCAAAGCTGAGAGAGGCCTCCTTAACTTCATTTATATCCGTGTAAACATCGCTCTCCTTCGGCGGCGTTCCGGTGAAGTACCCCTTGGTCTTCAAGCGGTCGACGAAGGCCACCCACTCGGGCCAGGGGTGGTGCGGCGGCGGAGCTTCTGTGCTGGTGGCGGGGACCGTGTCAATACTTTCAATCGCAGCCGAAGAGGAGGCGTACCGGGGGAAGCGCAGAGACTTGGGAGCGGCGAAGGGTTTTAGAGAGAGAAGTGAAGGGGTAGGAGAGAGAGTCCTTGTGGGAGCGTGGAGGAGTGAGGTCCCAAAACGCATGAGTTTTGAAGCAGCTGACATTTTGTTGAGAGAGAGAGAGATGGTAACTGGTAAAAGATGAGGGTTTTGTCAAGGTGACGTACTTTAAGGGTGATGGGTTTTAGAGGGAGCAAAAAGTGAAAATTGAAAAAGATAGAGGATGTAATTGGAATTGAATAAAGATAGAGGATTTAAGTGAAAATTGAACAAGATGATGGTAACTGGTAAAAGATGTGGGTTTTGTCAAAGTGAAAATTGAATGTTAGATTCATATTTCACACAGTAATTTTGAGTTTGAATTTTGATGCTGGTAAATCACATAATGCTAGTTAAGAGGAGGTCGAAATGTTTTTGTGAGTCTTTTCAATCTTGAGTAGGTAGACTGTTGTGGCGAAACCATCAGCTGACACAATATTAAATAAAAACATCATTTGTAGAAAACGACTTTTCACTTGCAAATAAAAACGAGTATTATTAACGATAATTTGGATTGAATTCACTTGTTTTAATCAATACCTATTTCTTATTTCTCATAATCTTAGTTAATCATCAACTTAACAATCTTAGTTAATGGTTAGAAAACAAAAATGGTCTTGGTTAATGATTTGAAAACAAAATTTGACAAGTTTTTTGCCTTTTTTGTGTGAAAAATGTTTATTTTTTATTTTTTTATAGTTTTAGGAAGTAAAAGAAAATAGAATTAATTAAGAACTTAGCGGTTTTTTGCGCCAAATAAATAATTGGACTGCGAAATTAATAATTAGGATGATTTATCACAGAAAATAAAAATAATTTAGGATTTTTAGATCCAAACAACCGCCGGTGATTTGGACTCCCAAAACCCCACACCGTTGGATCACAAAACCGACTTAAACCCTTTCTTAACCTCTCCGGAGTAAATCTCCCACAGAAAATCGATCGGCTTTCTGCTTTCTGCTTCTGCTTTTGCTTTCAGTCGCTCCACCATGAGAAGGGCTTCCACTCTCGCCTCACTCCCCCTCCTCTCCCGATCCCTTTCCACCGCCCACGGCGGCGGCGCCGTAACTTCAGCCCCCACCACCTACGGTCTTCTCCAGGTTGCTCTGTACGGGACCACCTCCACCGGTTCTCAGGCTCCTCGTCGATGGCTCGATTCTTTTTCCGGAGGTTCGGGTCGGAAGCTGGCAATCGGCGTCGCCGGAACTCTGGCTTCGGTCGCGGTCGCCACGTCGCTCGCTCCGGAGGTCTATGCCAAAGAGCCGCCTCCGGCTGCGCTTGTTCCGAAGGAAGTTGTGCTTTACCAGTACGAAGCCTGCCCTTTCTGCAACAAAGTTAAAGGTAAAAATTAAATCTTTACTTGTTGAATTGCTTTGGAGATGTTGTGTTAATGTTGCCTTTGAGCTGTTTAAATTTTTCACTGGATATCGAAAAATGGATGAGCTTTCTTGATAAAATGTTCAATTTTACCATTTTAGCATGGATGAAACATACATTTGAATTTCTCTGCAGTTATAATGCTTACATGTTCATAAAAGAAGAAACTTTTACATGTAGTTGACACTCGATTATGAACTTTCGCTAAGAATCGAACTATTTGGACAAAAAATGCAATGGGGTTGCTTGTTGCTTGAAACAAGCAATCGATGCTGTACCACACTTGGAGTTTTTGAAGTTATTAAGATCACCTTCATTTTTTCGTGTTTTCTACATTTTTAATTTGTTTTATTGCTACTATAATAATATCCAAAAAATAGTTATTATCGTGTTGTTTATGAGTTGGGGATACTTTATTATTGTATCAGCATTCTTGGATTACCACGATATACCCTACAAAGTTGTGGAGGTCAACCCACTTAGTAAGAAAGAGATTAAATGGTCTGATTATAAGAAGGTTCCTATACTAATGGTGGACGGAGAGCAGCTGGTAGATTCATCAGGTACCTGTCCTTGTGACTGTTTTTAGATTGCTTCAGTTTCTTGATTCGATTTCTAATTAGAATAATGTGATCTACGCGTTGTTGAATATATAGGTACTATAATTACATATCTCAATTAAAATTGAGCATGTGTCTGTTTGCAGCTATAATTGATCAGTTGAATAGCAAAATTGTTCCTGAGAGAGCAGCCGCTTCTTCCTCAGATGACGATGAAGAGAAAAAGTGGCGCCAGTATGTTATCTTTTCCTCAAGCTAGCTTTTTATGCATATATTCGTGTTTGGATAAAATGGGAGGAGCGGTGTTATGCTAAAAGGTCGCCGGTGTGAGCCACTGAACCCTGATCTTAATGGTTCTACTTATCTAAGAATTAAAGGAAAGGAGAGAATGTTGCTGAGTGATTCTCACCTCTTAGTAGCTTATTACAAGAATAGAAGAATCTGTGATCTGATGACCACTTTGAATTATGCACGCCTCCAGTCCTTTGGTAAATGAGCTGAAAGTTTATAAGATTTTTATTGTTGTGAAAGTTCATAAAATGGGAAATGAGCTCGGAACTTTGTCTGAAATGGACATTATCGATAAACCTTGGTTCAGACATCTCTTGTAGAAGCCTCTTTAGATTTACATGGATTTTGGTCGAGCAAATTAGATTTCGTTTTGTATGAACTTGGTGAGTGAAATGAAAAACACTCATATATATATATATATTTTTTTAATCTAGTGTCTCCGGGTCTTTGACCCAACTACTCACTAGGCCACCGCCTGACCCCACAACATTTGGTAGGCAAGAAACTCTAGCAATTGCTAGGTGGGTACCTTGAGAGGTGTCGAACCCCAGACCTCTTGGGAACAAACCAAGGGCCTGACCATTAGACTAAACACTCTTAGGTAAAAAAAAAAAAAACACTCATATATTGTTGTTATGATTTGAGAAGTTGTGTATTACTCACTCTGTGGAGCCTCAGCTTTGAAGCTGTTGGTGTGGCATACCTTGAGCTTTGGTATCTTTGTATCACTAACTGTTAAATTCATGAGCGTGTATTACGTGGTACTAGGTTTATTGCTATAAGTTTTGATACTTTTTATTTGGTTCCATAGAATATTAAATTTTGATAACTTTGGTGTGCTTCTTGTTGTGGTATAGGTGGGTTGATAATCACTTGGTGCATATGTTGTCACCAAACATATACCGAAATACATCGGAGGCCCTTGAGTCCTTTGACTATATCACAAGCAATGGTAACTAGATCCCATCTTATGCACCCAGATTTTATGGGCCTTCTACGGCAATCTTCATTACCTTCTTCAGTTTGTGTTGCTAATACTTACTCGTCGGTTTTCTTCTGATGTTTTGGTGGTTATTTGTATTCTGATGTTAGTTTTGCCGTAACTGCAGGTAATTTTAGCTACACAGAAAAAATTTCAGTGAAGTATGCTGGTGCTGCAGCTATGTACTTTGTGTCAAAGAAACTAAAGAAGAAATATAATATTACTGATGAGCGTGCATCCCTGTATGAAGCAGCAGAAACATGGGTTGATGCTCTTAACGGGCGGGACTTCCTTGGTATGTGTTCTAACTTGTGGCATATGCAGGTTCTGTCACATAGAGATGGCATGCGGGTTATCTTTTACTTAATAAATGATCAGGAGATGCATTAATTAAGTGACACTCACAGAAATAGATTGATGCATATGCTTATGAGAAAAGAAATAAATTTAGTACTCTCGACTATTAGATGATACTTGAATGTACCCGCACAAAGTTTCATCTAGAGACTAAAATCAAGATCAACGATCATTTGATGAGAAGAGAACGCTATCGTGAACCCTTTGCCTGAGTGAGCCTTAATAAGTAAGTTATGGTTGTTTACATGTACATGTTTCTTGTGTCAGGGGGCTCCAAACCGAATTTGGCAGACCTTGCTGTTTTTGGGGTGCTAAGACCAATCCGTTATTTGAGGTCGGGTAAAGATATGGTGGAGCACACACGCATCGGTGAATGGTACTCAAGAATGGAGCGTGCCGTGGGAGAGCGTGCAAGGATTAAGGAGTAAATTGGACATCCCGACGAGTTTGTAGCTGGGTTCTATACTTCATTTTTGAGTTTGCCGTATCTGTCACCAAACTTGATCAAATACTAAGAAGAAAGATTTCTCAGGAGACACTCGGAAGTTATAAATTGTCTGAATACAAGCAACGTTTTGCGATTATTCGATTGTTTGGAAAACGGAAATTGTTTATCGTTACATTAGATGTGATTGTTTAGCAGTACAAGGAATAAGAAAACCAGAGTGTCGAGTTTTACCAAGGGATGTGGACCTTGTTTTAAATTAGTTTCAATCCAATTGATATTTACTGACTACTCTTTATGATTCTTTACCTCAATTATTGGCAGAAAAAAGCCTTATTTTGCGGTGTCAAATGGTATTGGATTTGATGTGGAAACTGTTCCTTTGCTCTAATTTTTAAAAAACTAACGAAAATGACTTGAAAACTGACTTTTAACTAAAATGACAAAAAAATGTTGCAAGTGAATAGTACCAAGAGTGATTTTTTAAAGTTAAAATGTTCTTAATGTTAAAAGTGAACAGTAGTAAGTGTTTCGTTAAGACTCCTCTACTTTTCCGCTAAAAGTTCGTTACTTTCCCAACACAAATTGTTCTTTTTGCTAATCAAAGAATTGGAATGCAAGGATTGTCTTTGTAAGTAAAACATTTCTCTATAATTTATTGTGTCTCTGGCTTTTACTCTCATTTTTTCTCATAACGTAGCTTAAAATAGTAATATCGCTTATAATTAAAGATAAATACAAGTTGATCTCTGTAGCTGCTCGCTCCTTCCCATAACACAGTTAACCCCTTTAGCTTTGGGATTGGTGGTGGCCCCATTTTCCCTCCCCTCCGCCTAGCCTGTTTCCCTTTCCTCTTTTCAGTGATCCTTACTCCTCCCCATCACCTAATGGTCCTACCTTCCCCTCACCGTCCATGTCCGTCCTTTAATTTTAATTTCATGTGTTACTAGATTTGTTTAACACGTATGAATTTTCATCTCTATATTACTATATTACCTTTAAATTTTTATTTATTATTAATTTTTATTTAATTTTACTGTATTGTTCGTGAATTAGTATTTTCTATTAAACTTGGGGAGATGTTATTTGCATCCATATTAATTGTGACTTTTTTTTAATGAAAAATGTTAAGGAGACTCTTGGAGACGAAGAAGTTGAGGCCGGTGAGGTGAGGCAATAAAGGAGTAAAAACACATTTTGAGAGAGTCTTCCTAGCATTTCTCTTTTTTTATAGCAACGATCAATTATGACCCTTATTGATATTATGAGGAACTTGGAGGACCTAACTACAAATAAAAACAAAAAAAGGTTGAGAAGTTGGAGGCCCTTCGTGATATTTCACTGTATGTGAACAGTAATACCTCAACCAAGAGAGCCGTCTTTCCGCCTAGGTTAGGCTGCGCTGGTCGCTGCTTTATCCTCTCCCTCTCTCTCTCTCTCCTCCTCCTCCTCCTCCTCCTCTCTCTCTCTCTCTCTCTCTCTCTCTCTCTCTCTAAATCCCTAACTTGCTGTTTTGGCAATTGCGGAGGGTTCGAACGAAGAATCTCAAAGAAAAACACGTTCATGGGGTCTCAGGCCGCCAATCTGTGGGTTCTGCTGGGTTTAGGTTTGGCTGGAATTCTCCTGATGACAAGGAAGCTGAAGAAAACCATAAGAGAAGACTTTGGCGCCTTTGTTGAGCGGCTTCAGCTTCTTCCTCCGCCGCAGCCTGCTCCTCCCAAGGCTCCACACCCCCTCACCGGCCTCACCTTCGCTGTCTCCGACGTGTACGCTCTCTCTACCCACTTCCCCTCTGTTTGTTTCCCGAGAAAATAGTTGAAACCCAATATTTTGTTAGAGTGGAAAAAGAGAAAGTATGTCTCTTTGGCTGCTGAGAAAAAGATAAAGGATGGAACTTTGAAAGTTTCAGCCTTTACCTTTTGGTTAGCTTTATTGAACCTGATTGAAGTTATGGTTAGTATTGATAGTTGAATTGGGTTGGAACCCGGATGGCGAAAAGGCCTTCATGACTTATTTTTCTTTCTATCTCTGTCTTCTGTTCTGCCTGTTGCTTTTATTGATCTTACTCATTCGGAAGTAGCTTGTTGAACTTGAACTGTGTTATAGGTTCGTTTTACGTTTTCGATAGGTTTGCTGTGTGTAGTGATTGAGAGGGAGTGATTACTATACTAAAAAAAGCAGAACATCTATGGAACCCAGGATGGCAGTTACGGCTGAATTCGAATGTGACATTGAAAGAATAAATGAACATCTTTTCTGTACATTGAGTCGATATGTGTAGATGCTTAGACACAGGAATGCACTTTTTCTTTGCTTTGCAGTCATAGTTTTTTTAGACTATTTACTTGTGTTAAAAGTGAAGAACTTTGTAACATGGTTGCAGATTTGAAATTGAGGGACATGTAACTGGTTTTGGTCATCCTGATTGGGGAAGAACACATGATGCGGCTTCCCGGACGTGTCCTGTGGTTTCCACTCTTGTCGAAGGAGGTGCCACATGCACTGGGATAACTGTTGTGGATGAATTGGCATATAGGTATGTATAGCTATGAACGTACACTTTGAATGGGCCCTTGACGGGCTGAAGGTGCTATTCCTAATGTGATTGTGAGGATCTTCTATCAAATTGAAATAAGAAAATAGTTTTGAGGATCAACACCAACTAATGACATCTCTATTTTCCTTTCAATTTCTCCAACTCCAGCTTTAGTCTCGGTTGCATAATTCCAATTCTTTTCGGCGTGTTTATTTTCAGTATTACTGGAGAAAATAAGCATTATGGTACCCCCACCAATCCAGCAGCATCTTCAAGAAAACCAGGTGGATCCTCTAGTGGAGCTGCTGTGGCTGTAGCCGCTGATCTTGTTGACTTTTCACTGGGTAAGCTTCTTTTTCTTATCCTTTCTGAAATCGTTCTTCATCTTCTTTACATTTCCCCTTGAGTTTTGTAACTTTTATTGTTAGCCTTGACCATGGGAAATGCATATTTGAAGGAATTGGTTTCGTTTCCTTTGCCTATCTTGTGATTCTTATCTGAAAATTCTCTTATTTGGATACTCAGCATGTTCTTGATCTTATTGTGTCTCAAAAATGCCCCTCTTTTCAATTTCAACAGTGCTGCATGTATGATACTGTAATATTTACTTAATGCTAACATCACGGTGCAGGTCTTGATACTGTTGGTGGTGTTAGAGTACCTGCTGGGTCTTGTGGCATCATTGGATTCCGAGCTTCACATGGCTCTGTTTCTCATGCTGGATTTATACCTGTTTCTACAAGTCTGGATACTGTTGGTATGTATTGATGCAATTCTGTATGCTGCCAGGCTGCAGCAATATATGTTAATGTGCAACTATCCATGCCTCATTCTCAATCCCATCTAATCCCGTTATTCATATTAAACTCAAATTATTCCCATGTTGCTAGCACTTATCCCTTAATTCGTCAATATTTCCTTTCAGAATATACTAACTGTGTTTCTAACTATCTACCCATGCTATGTCTAGCCACAGAAGTAGATAATCGAATCCCTTTACGCTAAATAGCCGACCCCACTTAGTGGGAAAAGGCTTTGTTGTTGTTGTTGTTGTTGTATGGAGATATTATTTGACTTGTAAGACCGCATTTTCAGGATGGTTTGCTAGGGATCCTAATGTCCTGCGTCGTGTTGGACATGTGCTGCTGCAACTTCCTTATGCAGTTTCACGCAGTCCAAGACAAATTGTAATAGCTGATGATTGCTTTCAAGAAGTAAAGATTCCAGTTGATAGGATTGTTCAAGTGGTTATCAAATCCACTGAGAAGCTTTTTGGAAGTATGTTTTTTTTTTTTCCTTTGATTTATAGATCCATTATATGCTCCCTTTCCGTGGTGGACTGCTGTTTTGAAAGTTTTCTGATTGAGTTTTCGATAAACTGGTTCAGAGCAAGTGTTGAAACATGAAAATATTGGGGACTACTGCAATTCAAAAGTTCCAAGCTTGAAAAAGTTTCATGGCCTGAAGACAAATGGTGAAGTAAAGACTTCATCCCTCAAATTGCTTGCCAATGTTGTGCAGTTTCTTCAAAGGTGAGGTTATTTAGTCAGTAGTCAATCTTCTGTATATGTCATAATTTTGAGACTGAGGTTACTGTGCTTATATTTTTTCCTTCTATTCCAATTATCTTTGGTGTATTCTTATGGTTGAATAGGAAGGGGGAAGCTGAAACTCTTTTAAGTGTGGGGAAGTGTGTGCAAGATGATAAAAATTTAAAAGCAGTAATTTCTAACCTGAGAAAAAAACTTGGCAAAATATGAGGGTCATAAGAAGGCAGTTTTTCACTTTGTTCATTTCGTTTGTCTTTTGATTTTGAAAATTTACCTTGATTGTATAGTAATTGAGGTTTATTGTGTTCCGTATTATAGGCATGAGTTCAGACATAATCATGGGGAGTGGATTGATTCGGTAAAGCCTGTTTTGGAGTCTGCTACTTCAGCGCAAATATGTGGGCCACTGGAGGCATCCGATGAGGAGATTGAGATATGCAAGTCAATTAGGAATGAATTACGGGCAGCTGTCAGCTCTCTATTGAAGGTAGCCATTTTTAATTATTAACTTATTACTAATTTTTTCACAGGCAAACATATCTATACATTACACACATACATGCACACTTCCAAGCACACATACGTACAGATTGTCTTATTAATTACGAAGCCAAATTAGCTTGACTGGATTGTCAAGTGCTCTTAATTTATGTCTGATTCAACCATAGTGGTTGTTCTCAACGTGCCACTGTAGTCTTTTAAGGCTACTTTGTTCACCAAGATTAACATGCCTGAATTCCATTTCTTTACTACAGTTTAAGGACACTGTATAATTAAAACATGCTGCTCTTTTTCCTAATTCTTTAATGTTTTTATCGAGGTTTATTATATTGATTATGCTTTTCTCTTTTATTTGCTTCTGTAGGATGATGGAATTTTGGTTATCCCAACTATAGCAGACCCCCCTGCAAAACTTGGGGGGAAGGAGATGCTCTCTGAGGACTTCCGGAATCGTACTTTTGGTCTCTTAAGTATTGCAAGCCTGTCAGGCTGTTGTCAGGTGAAAATCCATCAATCTCTCTCTCCAATCTTTAATATTTTCGTGTATCATTATGTATTCATTGCATGGTGATAAGTTTGTACTGAATCTACTGATTTTAATTTCTCCTAATCACCTATACTTTTTGGATGTCTACTCTTCAGGTCACAGCACCTCTGGGATTTTATGACAAGTGCCCTGTTTCAGTTTCTTTCATAGCCAGGCA